CAGTACTAAACAGTATGCACTATATAGTATATAGTGCATACTGTTGACCTGACCAGAAAGCGTATACGTATGTGATCTAAATAGTAAATAGTGCACACTCAGACCATACCAGAAAACATAAACGTATGTGATCTACACTTCTTGTACGAGATCATCGCAAAAAGTACCACAACTTTCGAAAGACTAGCTACCTTACACCCCAACATACACCTAGCCCAAATAAAACCTCTTGCCGTCTCCGTCCAGTTTGAGACTTGGGATGAGACAGGACATGAATGAAACCACATCCACATATTCTACATAAATATAAAAATATATACATATAAACAAATATATATATATATATATACATATATACATTTATGACAAAGCCAGAAGACCTTGGCATGACGTGCTCGCACACACACGGCTACACAATGCTATATTCGTCGTAACACACAAGAATCCCAACACACGTCCACCTCCATACACTCAGCCCCACCACTGTCTTCTCTGAGACTATACCTTGCCTGTACCCGCGTTCTTCCTGACTCCATCTACTTTGATTTGTGGGGTAGGTATGGGCATAACAATAACCGCATCTATATTCAGAATAGCGGCCGAGAGAGCCACGCCCTGTGCGTGGTTGCCGGCGGAGCAGCAGACAATCCCTCTGTGGCAGTGGAGGTGTAGGTATACGTTTACGAAATGTTCGTTTACGTTTATGTATTGGGTGTGTATTATATATATATATATGTATATATACACGTATGTATACATATATAACTCACCACCATGTGTAGACATACTAATTATAGGTTCGTTGACGTATATGTTTTGGCGTGTATTTGTCCACCTCCGAGTGTAGCCATATGTTCAATTACGTTTATATTTTATTGTGTATCCATCCATCCACCAAGGGTAGACATATAACTCAAATATACTTTTACGTGGATGTTTTGATGTTTTGATGTGTTCACCTCCATGTGTGGGCCATATTGGGTATATGTACGTTTACTTTGCCATGCTAGTGTGTACTCGATCCTCATCACGTATAGTTATATATTGAGGATGTGATCGTTCACAAGTGCTAGCATGTGTGTAAGCGAATCGCTTGAGATTTTCCCCAACTAACCAGCATGCAGTATCTTTGTGGACACTATATATATATATATATATATATATATATATATATACATATACATATGTAGGTAGAA